CTGTAAAATATTCTGGATCGTGTTCTTTTAAAACATTTTGATTTTTAGCCCTGGCTGGCGTAGCTCAGTGGATTGAACGCGGGCTGCGAACTAAAGTGTCGCAGGTTCGATTCCCAGTCAGGCCACATACCTGGGTTGCAGGCCACAGCCCCCAGCAACCTCACATTAATGTTTCTCTCTCTCTTTCTCCCTCCCTTCCCTCTCTAAAATTAAATAAATAAAATCTTTAAAAAGAAAAGGAAAGATCTTAAAAAAACATTTTGATTTTTAAAATTCTTGATAAACCATAGGTATATTAGCTCCTGCTCTTAGCAAATCAGGTTTGATGAGTATTAAAGTTTAGCATTCGGTGTGTAATTATAATTAATAGTTAGTTTTATAATAGGCCAAGAAACACACACAGAGACACACATGCACACACAATAGTTGCTGAGGGGAAAATCAAGGTCTGGCTGTTGCTGGACCTGGGTTACTCAGAACCAAAGAAATGAAAGGGTTAAGTATGAGGAGCCTCAGAAACCAGCACCGGGAAACCTCTTGCCCAGATTGCAACATCATTCAGGGAACACAGATTGCATCTTCACAGGGACCCCAGCAAGCATTGCCTTAGTCACTAGCAGAACTCATCAGACCACTTTGCAGAAGCTGAGGAACACCAGCTCTGCTTTAATTCTAGGCTTTCAGTCTGGCTTCACATGTATTTTCTTAGAAGTCACCTCCTTTTCATGGACATGAGTCAATAACCAGCTGGCTACCGTGTGGTAGATTCCAATATGTGACCCAGATGACAGTATATATTCTCTTAATGCGAGGCATGGGGAACTTTCAAAGAAATATTTGGACAACTTCCCAGATCAGCTGGGGAGGTCAGGCACCCTGCCGCAGAAATTGGTGCTTCTCCTTCGGAGAAGAGGCTGAAGGTCATCTGCCTAGCACCTGTCTCATGGGGAAGGGGCAGTGTATAGTTAAAGCAGAGGGGCCATCAGCACGGTGGGTGATGAGAACACGGGGCAACTAGTCATGAAAGTTTCAGACTGTGACCATGATAACAGATCAACCCACACAGAAAGGCACAGCTGGTCTGCTTACACAATTACAGTTTGGCTTAGAAAGCCAAACTACGTTATTCCAAACACATGTGCAATATCTTATTCATCCTGTTCTGAGAATTCTCACCACTGCGCTCAGGGATCATTCTCAGAGCTTTCCACCAGGCCCTAGGAAAGCTCATATTAAATGTCTGCAACCCAGAGATTGAAAAGGGTAAAAAAAACATGGTCAAGGGGCCAAAAATAAATAAAATTCCTTATCAGTGATGATGTGCTTGATCTTACACAGCTGAATCAGGGGGATTCTGGCAAACTTTCTGAGAATGCAAAACTGTGAATGACTTCTGTTATTTTCTTCTGAACTGACATCGAAGTAGAACTAACAAACTTGAACCATGTTGCTGAGACAATATTTAAAAGTAATATTTTAATTTAGAAACTTAAAGCTAGCCAAACATCCTCAGACCCATGTTCAGTATGATTCTTTTTCAGTTCTACAAGGCCCACTCACCTCATCTTTAAGGTGCTGCATGCTTTCTGGATGTGCCTTCCGACGAGAGCATACTATATCTTTAAGTAAATGAATTATTATATTTATTTTGGCATACTCCCTCCCCTCTGTCAGATCCCCAGTGCTTTCTTTTATACACTGTAGACTTTAAATGTTTAATTTAAAGAAGTAGAGGATTTTTCATTATCATAAATAATTTTTAAAATAATTGGAAAAGAACTGTTAACATTAGATAATATTCTCTCTTCCATTAATCATAAAAATTTTCTTAAGACTCAGAGAAAACTAAATTCTTATTGAAGCAGACACCTGAAGCATAGCTCAATCATGTCACTCAGAAGTTCCTAGCCCTCACCAAGAGAATCACCTTAGAAGGGATGTACCAAACCCAAGTATTAGTTGATTACTTCATGTGAATTAAGTCATGAAGTAATTCCAAAGTCATGAAATTAAGCCACCAGATGACCAAATTGTGCTGATCCTTTCATTTCTATTATTTGTGACTTTGCTTGTGTCACTGGGTGACGAAACAGGCCACATATGCTGTTCAGTCATCCCTTTGTCACATGAATGTGAAGACCCTCCCAGTAGCTCTTTTTCTACTCAATGGGATGTGTAGAAAATAAAATCGTTTTACTGCTTCTTCTAGTGATTCTCAGTTTACCAAAAAAGAGATTGAGTCCTGAGGATGGGTCAATCATTCTTAGACAATACTGGGGTCAGATAAAGCAAAGGTATAGAATTTAGTCTTCCTACATCTTGCTTCTCTTTCAATACTTAGTTTAAGTTTGCCTTTCTTCATAAGGCTTTTTCTGACTATTACCAGCTGCATTGTCCAATCTCTTTATTTGTAAGAGTAAGCAGCACGTGATTGTTTTCTGTGTGTTCATGTAAGTTGTGAGCCGCTGAGCTTAAGGGCCAGGACTAAGTTTGATGTTTCTTTGATATCATTCCTGATGTCAAGCAGATTGATGGACACATAGTATTTGTTTAATATCTATGGTGGGAATTTGAATCACTATTACAGACTTCAATGAATTTTCTGTGGAACTAGTGATGAAGTCTTTTAGAATTTTTACCAAAATAAATTGATCAGAGACTCCCTTACAGAATTTCAGATACTCATATATGGACTGCATATTTTCCAAGATTCCACAGGTACTATTTTCTTTTTTATATATATATTTTATTGATTATGCTATTACTGTTGTCCCCCACAGGTACTATTTTCAAAGAGATTGACTAAGCACAGGTGTGAAAAGCCAAATACTTTACATTTCTCACTCTAAGGCCTATCCTGAGATGCAAATAATTTGTAGTTACTAAAATTCTCTTCTCCTTTATGGCCTCATAACAGCATCTAAAGTTATTTATCTTTCTCTTCACTGTAATGCAAGCAGGAGCTGGTATGAAACCTCACAGAAGAAAGAAGAGAAACATCTATTTGATGCTACAGTTTCAGAGAAGTATTCCCAGAAGCAGTATCACCACTTTCTCCGGTGTCATTAATATGTTGTTACCATGAAGGGTGATTTTTAAAATGAGAATTATAATAAAATAAATGCACTTGTAAACAACATACCTAATACAGTTTTAATGAATTTTATCACTTTAATTTCCTGCTAATGGTGACTTAGGTTATCAAGCATGGAAGTCGCTTTTTCATTCAAACATTGGAATTGGAATCTTAACATATCGTCTAGTTTATAAGATTTTACTTTAGATGAAGAGACCGGCACCCAAGGAGGTTAAATAACTACCCCAAGTCACACAGGTAGTGATACTGCTGTAACAGAGGAATACATTATTTATGGATTTGGGGGGAAAGAGAACATTGTTTTCCAAATATTCAAAGATATATATATATATATAATTAGACATTCTCAATTTTTAATGTTAAGACTTTACAATTAGTAGCTCTTCTAGCACTCACTTTTTTCCTTGTTTCATATTTGTGTGTTTTTTAATCTTCCTGTCCAAGGACCAAACCCAAATCTAAATCAGCTAACAGATCTGTAAATACACAGGGTCTCTCACATGTCAGCTCGATAAACTGTCAATGATCAAATGAAGGTTCTTTCAGCCTTTCCTCTAAGACTCATTAAGAAGACAGCTGCCAGCCCAGAATGGCAGGGGCAAGAAAATAACAGAGCAGTGTCATGAAGCCAGCCTTCTTAATCCCTTTCCCGGTAATTCCAATTATAGTCTAATCTGAACACTCTTTGTGGGACACAACTCAGTCTCACATAACTCAGTTGTGCCATTTTCTCTACTCCCATTTACACAAACTGATCAGATATGCCCCAAATGCTGAGCGTTTGTTAGTATTCATTTACTTGTGGGAGGTCCCTGCACAAACATTAAAAAAAAAAAAAAATGGGACTGTGGATGCCATAGCAACTCAGAAATACAAATGTTGTCTAATGGAATCATTATTGAAGGTGATATAGTTCGTACAAAAACACTGAATTAAATCTGAGATAGGAATGAGTAGGGAAGAATGTGTATGATAAAAATACTAAGTTTCCCAAATTCGTGGCTTTGCATTATTTAAATGCAGGGCCACTTAACTGCAGAAGGAAACGGTGGGACAGTAGATGGGGTAGCCCTCAGTACATTGGTAGTTAAATGCTGGTTATGAGTATAGGATGTCCCCTCTACTGTTTTGTTCTCCCTCCATCCCGAGGATAAGGACAATTGAGAGATGGATGGGGCTGGAGGCCCAAAATTTTAACTTAAGTCGCCTAGTTTGCTACAGCTGTAAACTCTCCCCAACAAGCTGGGCCCTGCAGTCTTTCCAAGCACCGAGCGTAGAGAAAGGTAAAAGGAAACTGTGTCTAAGAGGTTAGGTTCCCGCGTGCTCCACCGGAGCTTTCCCTTAGGGCCCTTCGCTCGTTATGTAAATCACAAGTTACTGGGGGCGGGGGGGGGGGCACTCCTGAGAAGGCGGGGGGCCGACGGAAATCCGGTACTTCCAAAGTCCCCTGCACCGCGCGCCTCTCCCTCCGGTCTCTGGAAAAGTCCCCGCTCCTAGCACCCCCATCCCCCGCACCTCCCAGGGGAGATGTGTAGCCGCGCGCTGCTGCTGGCGGACCAGAGGCTGTAGAAAGCGGGCCGGAACGGCCACAGGGCGGGCTCCCCGGTTATGGCAGCTACGCTTTGTTTCCATCAGCGAGGGATGAGTCACTGGCCCCCCGCACTCTCAAAGCTGGGCAAACACTCGGACTAAGGCGGCTGTAAATTTAACAACAGGAGCAGCTACCGAAGCAGCCGCATCCTCTTCCTCCTCGGCCACTGCCAATGCCACCGCCACCCCGCGGCGACCGCCTCCGCCTCCTGCCTCCGCCCAGTTCCCTCCTCCACCACCCGCGAACTTAGTCAGCGGTTCGCGCCGCGGCGCCGCGATTGGCCAACGAAAGGAGCCGCGTCACAATGGAGCCGGTCGGAGGCGGCGAGCCTGCCGGCGCTGGGGCTTCCCGCTGAGCCCGCAGCCGCCAGCAGCCGACTGTGTGCGGGCGCCCGGGCGCCGCCTGCGCGCCCGGGGAGCGGCGCTGGGTGGGCGCCGCAGAGAGCGCGGGCGCCCGGGTCTGGATTCGCGCAGGTAGGTCGGAGTGGGACGTCCCTGGCTCTCGGTGGAGGAGCTGAGCCGACCAGGTGGTGGTGGAGGAGGACGCCGGGAGGGGACGCAGCAGGTGGGGTTCACCGAACAGGTGCGGTTACCTGTCCGCGCCTCACTTGCGAACCGGGATTGAGGGCAGCAGGCTTGGCCAGAAAGATGAGTCACCGCCCTCTGCTCCCTTTTCCCCCGCCGCAACGAGGCGGTCCCCTCTCTACCCAGCGGTCTGGGCGCTGCACCTGAGTGTGAGTCCTGCGGCGGTGCGGGAGCAGGGTTCTGGTTTTCCAAGCTAAAGTCTCCCCTCTAGGTAATTAGACCTCTCCGGAGGGTGCACGCGTTTGGTCGCTCTCTTTTGCCCTCTGCCATTGCGCTGTTGACAAACATTTTATGCTCATTGGTTACTCATTGTTTGCCAACAATTTGATGGTGCTGGCTCTCGATTGTTAGAGAAGGGGGCAACCAAATACCCTGGTAGATAGAAAAGCTGAGTTTGCTCCTCCTGGGGTGCAGTTGAGCAGATGGTGAGAGGTCAGAAGGGAGAAGGTACGTCGTTGGCTCATTACTCTGTGTCCTCAACTGACTCCCCAAAGTCCATAGATTGTCCTTAGATTACATTTGTGATCAGAAAGACGCCTTCTTAGCACCCCCTTCCACCTACCCCATGAAAAGAGCAAACCTACATTTAAAAACAACCTATGCGTGAACTTCCTTGAGTAAGTTTGTCTTGCCTAAAAACTTTTTTTAAAATTCTGTAAAAAGATATCAGTATGAAAATTTTAAGTTGCAAATGGGTAGCCAACTTAAAATAGGAAATTTGTTCACCTCCCTCTAAGAAGAAATTAAATGGCATGTGCCTTTGTCATACTGACTTGTCTCCTAAACCTAAATGTGGGGTTTGAAGCGCGCAAAAGAAGCCAAACTGCAGTACAGTATAATTGTGTAACAACTCCAGTACACTGAGAACCCCTGAGAACCCCCAATGCTCTTTGAGTTGAGGGTGCCAAGGTGACTTTCCTTTGCCCTATTCAAAGCTTCATTCTTGAAGAGAATGTAACATGACAGCTAATTTCTTCCGTAACTGGGCAAGTCTGATTTAAGAATAGAAGCCTTTATAGGTCTGATATTCTCTTAGTTCAGGTAATGAAGGGGGCAGAGTTGTCACTGATTCTACAGTTGAATCATGGCACTTTTCTCATACCTACTATCCCCACAAAATGTTTTATTATAGAAAAAATGACAGTTCTCAGTGTTAGAATTAAAATTACTATTCTTTGAAACTTACTGTTTTTCTTCAGTTGGAAAGGTGTTCCAACATATCCAACCTAACATGAATATTTTTTCATCTGGAGTGATTTCATTTGACTAGTTGTTAAGATTTGCTTTTTAAAGACCACTGCTGTTTAATTCTTCAGAATCCTCATAATGAAAGCAACAATAATTAAAATGAAAATGGTCCTCTAATCAATATAACTTGAAAAGGATACCTGGTCTTCCAAGGTTTTTTTTTATTTAATAGGTTTTATTTTTTAGAGCAGTTTTAGATTCACAGTAAAATTGAGAGTAAAGTACAGAGACTTCCCATACATCCTCTGCCCCCACTCATGCCATCGCGTACCCCATTATCAACATGTCCCACCAGAGTGGTTCTTTTGTTACAATGGATGAACCTGTATCGACACATCATCATCACCCATAGTCCATAGTATATATGTTAGGGTTCACTCTTGGTGGCGTACATTCTGCGGGTTTGGACAAATGTATAATAACATGTATTCACTATTGCAGTATCATCAGATTATGATACTATATCATAGTATCACGGCCCTAAAAAAATCCTGTTTTCCATTCATCCCTCTCTCCCCCATCCCCTGGCAACCACTGATGTGTTGTTGACTATATCCATAGTTTTGCCTTTTCCAAAAATGTCACATACCTGAAGTCATTAGACTCTGTAGCCTTTTTGCACTTAATAATACGCATTTAAGTTTCCTCCATGCCTTTTCATGGAGTGATAGCTCATTTCTTTTGAGTCCTGAATAATATTCCATTATCCCTCCAAGTTTTCTTAGACTCTGTGGCTATTTTCCTGCAGTAGCCTGAAATTTGTGGTTTTTTTGTTTTGTTATCTGAAGTTGAAGGGGGCAAATATTATAATATTTAGAAAATTCTTGCTTTAACCAAAGTTTTTATTTCTAAACAAAGTTTTATTTTTAATATAAGTTTTTTTTGATGGCATATGAGTATTTTTATGTTCCTTTTTGATTTTTTGTTGCCTATGTTAAAATATCCTATTTAATCTATTCCCTGATTTTTATTTACTGTCTCTCAAGATGATTTTTTGTTCTCCTTTCCAGCATCCTTCTACACTGATATTTTCAGCAACAACTGTATGCTGAATTTGTTGTTTCATTCCAGACTTGGTGGAATGATGTACGTTGCTTTTCATATGGGAAGCATGTCTCTCCCTGCTGTCCTGACTCCACAGTACAGAATCCTGGAGCAATTTAGACTCAGAAAGGAATTTTGGAGGCCCAGTTATAGCACCGAATTTTTTTAACCACTTACAAATGCATTCTTATTTATGTCATGTCTGTTTTCATATTGCTGCCTTTTCTTTTTTCTTTCTTTTCTGGGTATTTAAGATCTTAAATAAAATTAGTCCTAACTCCAGTCACTGAATTTCTCTTCTAAGTTCATATCATTGCTGTTCATTTAGAAATTCAGCAAAGGATAGTAATAAACTCCCTGGCTTTCATTTAGGATTCTACTCCATTCCAACATAATTTAAATTGACTTCAGTGTTGTTGTGAACTGGGTAGAAGAAATGAATAAAAAGCTGTCAGAGCTTCAACCTTGGTCTTTCCTTTTGCCTTTTGACCTTTATGCTGTCTTTGATATGGATCACATGATTCTGCCTGTCCTTTTCCAGACTGTATCTTTGAACTTCATCTCCTACTTCAATTTCAGTGTTTCTTGTAACCCTACTTGTCTGTCTCATCCTGTGTTCATTTCCAGGGCTCCATTCTACAGTGCCTCCTCCCCAGCCAGTAGCAGCTTTCACAGACGCTACTAGTTACACAACTTCTATTTCTCTTCTGGTTCCAGCACCATGCAGGTGTTTGTGATTTTCCTCTGCCCACTTCTGATGAAGGCTAAATTTTTCACTGTCAAGTAGGGTATTCCTTCTGATTGTTTCTCAGGTATGCCAGTTTGAGAGCGTATTCAAACCTTCCTTCCTCTGTGAAACTTCTTTGCAGCATTTTCATACTACCCTGCCCCCAATGTATTGCAAATTGTAAGCTGGAGTTCTTCAGGCTTCTGCCTAAGAGCATGGACTTTGCACACTGATATGTCTGGGTTCAGATGAGTTGCTGGATTAGTTAAGATTAGCTGCCAGTTACAGAGACCACAAAGAGCAATGACTTAACCAAAGTGATGTTTGTTTCTCTTTCATATATTTGAAAAAAAAAAGTTAATAGAGAGACAATCCAGGGCTGGTCTGATGATTTTACAGTCTTCTGAGACCTAGGCTGGTTTCACCTCTTACATCTACCATACATGAAGTGAGGCCCTCATCTTCATGGTCCTAGGTGGAGCTGCAGCCACCACATCCAGGTTCCAAGTAGTAGAAAGGAGGAAAGAAGTAAGGGAAGTAGACAGGAAAGGCAAAAGCCTTTGTCAAGGAAATTTCCTGATGCTCTCCAGCACTTCTTGTTACATCTCATTGGCCAGAACTTAGTCATGTGATCTCACCTAGCTGAACTAGAGATGGTAATATTGCCTTCACTCCAGACAGCCTTATGCCCAGCTAAAATGTGGGGGGTTCATATCCTCAGGAAGGGGAGAATGAACATTGGGTAGCCAAACACCATGGTTACTCTACAACTCTTTTTCTTGACTAATACTACCCAACTCACAGGATTCTTAGAATTAAAAGAAATATTATACATGAAAGCATCTAATATAATATCTGGCATAACACAAAGTTTCTATAAATGTTAGTTCATATTCCTCCTTATTCCTCTTTCATGAATTGCCTAATTTCTCTCTCGCAACACCATTGGCATCCAAACCCTTTGTTAAATACTTGGGCATTTGCCCAATCAGTGGTATCAGATTGTATGCTTTCATGGGAGGGAGCAACACATTATTATTCAATGTCAGCATTTATGTCTTAGTTTAAAACATGGCTTAGATACAAACAAACAAACAAACAAACAAAATATATATATATATAGCTCTAGGAATAGAATAGACCCAGATATGAGTTCTGGCTTTGCCACTTAGTGTGAAAACTTAGACTCTTGCACCCTCAATTTTCCCCATCTGTGAACTGAGAGTAATGACGAGATAGGAAAATTAAATTTAAAAATATGTATAGAGCACTTAATACTGTGCCTGATAAAGTAAGTTGTAGCTTTTCTTCTTTAATTTGGCCTAATCTGGGTGAAGCTTTTTGAAAATGAACTTATTCCATTAAAAAAAATGTTTTAATAGTGTCATTTCCATACATATGCAGATGAGTGTTATTAAATTGTTAGTCAAACTTCTTTGATAATTTTCTCCATAATCAGTTTAAACCCAAATAACAGCAAAATCTTTCTTGCATTTTTGTAATCAAAAAGAGAATAGCTCAGCCTTATGCTTCCTCAGCCTTGATTGGAATAATTTAGGGCTATTACACTCTCTGAAGCTGAAACATTTTCATAATTGAATATATTTCATAGTATTCTTTTCATCAGCTATTTGTTAAACACCTAACATATGCCAGACACTGTGCAAGGTTCTGGGAATACAGTGGTAACAAAATTTCATTCCCTGCCATCAGGAAGGTTGCAGATAACTGGGGGATTCAGCAAGTAAATAAAAAATGCCACTGTGATGGTTGTTAGGAAGTAGACATCCAGGTGCGATGAAAGCATGTGCAAATAAATGTCTTATGCTTGGAGGTTGAATGGAGTCTTCAGGAACAAAATATTGGCCAG